GGTATTTACAATTTCCTAGAGCTTGTGGGTCTGTAATAGAAGATAAGTAAATGGTAAGAGCAGGCAGTACTTGTCCTATGTGAAATAGCAGTATATTGTATAATTTTATTTTAAGGCTGACAGTCTATTTTCATAGGCTGTGATATACAGCTGTTCTTAAACTTCTTAATAAGTAGATGTAAGGCTTAGTAACACAACTTTCTTTTGTTTGTGGGTGATATTCTGTTAGCATCACCAGACATATTAAGTTGGTAAATCTTTTCCCTTTCAGGGTTGTGCCTCTTGGGTCTGTGCAAACTGTGAGTGGCTACACTTTCAAAGGCTTTATGTCACATACAAATAATTACCCTTGTGCTTACCTCAATGCTGCATCAGCCATCGGAATGAAGACACAGGATGTGGATTTGTTCATAAAGAGACTTGACAAGTGTTTAAAGACAGTAAGAAAAGAACAAAATAAAGAGAGTGATATATCTGGGGTTGACAATTATGACAAAACTGAAGATGTGGATATTGAAGAAATGGCTTTAAAACTAGATAATGTACTTCTTGACACATACCAGGATTCTTCTTGATGACAAATGAAGGATTTCTTTTCGGATAAATTTTGAGAAATGATGAGGCTGCAGTATAAGCTAGTAGCTTAAAGACAAGACTGGAGATGTTTGAATTGGGAATTTCATGGAGAATAATTGGTCAAGGGATAGAGTTTGGTCTGAGCTAGCCATTGACAGTTGTTACATTTTTTGTTCTTAGATTTCTTCAATCATTATCATTCTTAGCAGGTTATGATATCCAATTAGCATTTTTCTAATTGTTAAATATTTGCCAATTAAGCAGTATGATCTAGCTAATTCTTACTAATGTAATTACAACAAAATTACATATTACCCCTAATTCTTTTTGAGATATGTAGGCTGCTTCCTTCTAACCATTCACTGTCAGTGACAAATTACTTATGTTTCTGACCACACAGAATTCAGAAAGATCTCTAATGCTACTAGTTACTAGATGTTTGTTGATGTGTGTCAGTCACAGTATGCCTGTAAAATGGACATTTTCCAGGAAAGCAGACTCAAGGCGTGAGCTTTAGTTTCACTTAATAGCAATGGTCCTCAATTGGGGATGATTTGCTTATATGTAGGCAACGTCTGAAGATCTTTTTGATGGTGTCAACTAGTGGGACGCTACTGACGTCTAGTGCATGAAGGCCAGGGGTGCTGTTCAACATCCTATAATGGACAAGAGAGCTTCCCGAAACAAAGATTTATCCAGCCCCAAATATTAGTAGTGCTGAGGTTGAGAAACACTGCTCTAAAGTAAATGAACTCGTCAAATAAGGAGAAGTTTTCTATAGCAACTTCAATTATTCAATAGTAATTCAAGGAAGATAGCTCTGTAAATGTTATCAAACTACACAATGTGTAGACCCTTACATGATAACCAAGGTTACCAGTTCTAAACGTGTAACTATAGATTATTCATATAGCACACGTGCATTTTTCCCTTTGGGAAAGTGAAAACGTTAGTCTGCTGTTTTTGCCTTAAGCAGCCTTTGCATATTGGTTGGTTGGTTCAGGTGTCGTGCCCAGCCATCATCAAGAGTGTTAACTTGGGGATTTGGAACATGTTTTTGCTGAGGAAGTGAAAATGATGGAGTAAGATGAACAGGTGTATTCCCCTTGCATTGCCCTTATACTTACTTTTTGTGTCTGGAATTACAGACTTATTGGCTGTAACAGTTATTTTTGTTGTTAATTTTAAGAAATAGACAGATGTCTCATAGCCTAAGGAATTCGTTAAGCTTCTGAATGCACCAAAATGTCAAAGCTGTATTTCTCAAGACCTCTCTGCTCTCATTCCTAAGAGATGCTCATGGATATGAAGGGTTCCATGGGCAAATAATTTGGGGACTTTGCAAAGCTGCCTTTTGGCATATTAAAGGCTCTAAGAATTTCTTCTAATCCAGTTTAAGTGTATCCTTATCCAAAGATGGAACCTGGTTTTTAAATTAAATCCTTATTGATACCTCATTGAACATACTTTTGAAAACATTACAGTAGAGAATGCTGCCTTGATTTCTGGATTGTCTTTTTCTCTATTGACTTGACATTGTAAACTGATACCGTGAGCTCAGACAGATACTGTAGCTCCCATGGGTAAGTTAGAATATTTTAGAAACTGGCTTGACAATCCTGGAAGTTGGCTGTGTTAAGATAAATTACTTAATTATAAATATTGTAAAGGTTACTTTTAAATGATTGCATCTTTGGGGTTCAGCTATTTGAAGTATCTGAGTTTTTTAAACAGCTATGATAACTTCTTTCAAAGGAGCTTAATCGTGGATTAAAAGGCTGTATAATTTTTTTGTGTGAATTTGGGACTGACTTGTAGAACCAATAAAGCTGAAGGGTTATTTCAGAACCTCTAGAGTCTGTGAAGGGGGTGAAAGTGACGTTGCAGACATAAATGCTGGCAGTGCAGCTTACCATGAACGTAAGCCAGAATTGTTTTACAGAAAAGTGATCTATATTATGTGATCATCATTTAGCTTAAGAAAGGCCAGATCTGAGAGACTAGCAAACGTTTTCTCATCTGCACTGTATCAGCAGTTCTTGGGCTTCAGCTGCTGAATAGATAATAATTCTAATTGAAGATAAATTACATGAACCCACATGTGAATGATAAGTTATAGCATTTCACTCCTGGTACATAAAATTAGCTGCAGTTTTTTTTAAATTATTAGCCATTTATTTCAGAGGCTTTCGAATTCCAGCTCTATTCTTGCTGGTTTAAATTCGACCTTGAGGTCGTAGAGGTCACAAAAATTTTTGAAGGGATGTTGTAGGTTCTGCATATTTAGAACCTTTCCTTTGCGCCCACCCCAGTGTCCTTTGACTTGCTGTCTCTCATTTCCACAAATAAGTATCAAAAAGTATGTACATACAGTTATTTTAACTTGCTAGTGATGATTGGTAAGCCTCATAATTGACCTTAGTTATCCTCACCCTGTGGTGGAGGGGCAACGGATGATATCTTGTACAATCAGTGACTAAGATGACCTCTTCTATCTTTGTGATCTGATTGCCCTTTTTAAGGCTATAAGGTAGAATTTTCGAGTTTGATTTTTAAAGTCACTGGGCTGTTGTAGTTTGCCCAGAAAAGAAAATTGAGTAACACGAAACGTTCTTTAGGTCACTACACCCAACGTGTTACTTACACACACAGCAAGGTAAGGTATTTTAAATCCAGTTCTCAGTTTGGGTCTTATGATCTCTGCTGATGGATTCCCCCTCTATCAGGGAATGATCTGTGATACTAGCCTTAGGAACTGTGTTCAACTATAAATCTTTTTATTTAGCTTTTTGTGTTGACTAAAGTTATAGAATATGAATAATTGAATACAGTTATATTCAGCCAATAGGCACTTGATACACAGAATGGTACCTTTAAATATAAATTATGTGTTTCCTAGTATTTTGCCCTAGCATGTACCTGTATTGTGGTTCTGTTTCTTTAACCACCATACTAAGAACTATCACTGAGGCCCAAGCTACATGATGTGCTTTTATCATAGACTGTATGGCTAGGGTAGGTGTTAGTAAAATTAAACTTAAGCAAAGATAATTTTTAAACCAGTGATATTACTGCAATATTGAATTAGTAGCTCATCATGAGTTAAGTTCTTGTGTTCTCTTCATAGAGCAAAAAGCCAACAATTGACAACAACGACAAACCCTGCTGAGTCCCATTGGTAATACACTCAGGGAAGACATTTTGAATACATACACACTTGGTGCATATAAAAGTTGGGCTTTCTTTTGCCACTAAGTTCTGCTAATTTCTGCCAGGCCCTTAAATGGCTTTGTTATGTTTTGCATTTATGAGTTGACCTTATTTTGTAATGAAGTTTGTGTACACAGAAGTTTGATCATTTCAGAAGTTTGATACTCTGAATAATTTGATAAAAACAACAGAATATGCTGTTAACAGTAAAAAAAAAATTACCTGTAAACAGTTCTTTCCTTGTCTGTCATTGTATGGATTATTTGTCTCTTGTGGCCACTCTTGATATACAGATATAAGACTTACCCACTGCATCCTTTTGTGCCTTCCGTTTTACATTCATACGCTTTTTGGCCATTAAGGTATGTACTACGTGTATGTTCAAGGCTAATGAATATATCTTGATAATTGTCCACCTAATATACTACAGTTCAATCTAAGGCATTAGGCAAATATGGAAATGTTTATATGGTCTTATTTGTATCAAATTGTGTCAACTTGAACTTTTAGAGAAATGTGAAGAAAGGCTATGATTAAATGTATAATTGTTGGAGCTTTTAGCTATTAGAATTGAAGCTGATATCAGCCTGCTAACCTATATGTTTACCAAGAGAAAAAGATGTTTTCAAAAATATGTTTTTGGTTTAGACTATGTAAAAATAAAAATGAATTGCATAATTTATTACATGAAATAAATTTTTAATAAATCATTGACAATGCATGTATTATTTTACCTAATCATTGCTGCAGATAAAATCTGAAAGTACAAATAACTAATAATAAATTACTTGCCCATTTTTTGATACAGTCATCAGTATCACCTTGGCCAAAAATCAGCAAAAGTCCTATTTTATAATGAGAATCATGAGTCATGGGGGTGGAGGCTAGAGTATTTGAAAAAATAAACCAAAAACAAAGAAGGAGGAGATAACATTCCAACAGTCATTTCACAAAGAATCTGTTGACTATGGAGAGCTGGAGGCTTAGAAGTATTTAATGTTTTCTAAAAGAAACACCCTAAAAATAAAATAGTATCACTTCCTTCTTCAGCAGATTTCATTTTTAAATTGTACTATTTGAATTTTGCGGTTAGTTCTCATTTGATTTGGAATTAGATCTCTGCACTGATACTTATTAACCATGTGAGTTCACTTATTTAACCTCTCTGAATCTCAGTCTTACCATATATGAAATGGGTACAATCTTAGAGGATAGAAGGTTAAATGAGACAACATGTAAAGTAATTAGCTCAGTGCCGAAAACATAGCGCTTGCTGTTAATAACTGGTATGATGTTATGCAGAAAGCTAATATATACTAATTTGTACTAGATTTAAATTAAATTTTAAATTTAAAATATATTTATTAGTTTCTTAGTAGTATGTTTCATTTACTATTAGTTTATTTATTTATTAGTAGAATGTAAAGAGACAATATTAAAAGCAATAAGGGGAAAACAACACATAACATACAAAGGAACTCCTGTAAGGCTATTAGCTGATTTTTCAGCAGAAACTCTGCAGACCAGAAGGGAATGGCACTATATATTTAAAGTGATGAACAGGAAAAATCTACAACCAAGAATACTCTCCCCAGCAAGGCTCTTGTTCAGATTTGGTGGAGAAATCCAAAGCTTTATAGGCAAGCAAAAGCTAAAAGAGTTCAGCACCACCAAACCAGCTTTACAACAAATGCTAAAGGAAATTCTCTAGGTGGAAAAGAAGAGGCCACAATTAGAAATGGGAAAATTACTAAGAGGAGAATGCATTTGAAATTAGGAGATCAACAACTTAAAACAATCATATATATTTATATAGACTGCTATACAAAAACCTCATGATAACCACAAACTGAAAATCTGTAATAGATAGACACACAAAAAAAGAAAAAGGAATTCAAACATAACATTAAAGATAGTCGTCAAATCACAAGAGAAGAGACAAAAGAAGAAAAGGGGGAAAGACCTACCAAAACAAATACATTTAAAGGATCATACACTGTGATCAAGTGGGGTTCGTCCCAGGGATGCAAGGATTTTTCGATATCCACAGATCAATCAATGTGACACACCACATTAACTATTGAAGAATAAAAACCATATGATCATCCCCACAGATGCAGAAAAAGCTTTTGATAAAATTCAATAACTATTTATGATAAAAACTCTCCAGAAAGTGGGCACAGAGGAAACATACCTCAACATAATAAATGCCATCTATGACAAACCCACAGCTAGCATCATACTCAACCATGAAAAGCTGAAAGCATTTCCTGTAAGATCAGGAACAAGACAAGGATGCCCAATCTTTGCCACTTTTATTCAACATAATTTTGGAAGTCCTAGCCATAGCAATCAGAGAAGAAAATGAAAAGGAATCCAAATTGGAAAAGAAGTAAAGCTGTCACTGTGGATGACATGATATACATAGAAAATCCTAGAGACACTACCAGAAAACTACTAGAGCTCATCAATGAATTTGGTAAAGTTGCAGGATACAAAATACAGAAATCTGTTGCATATCTATCTATAGATATAGATATAGATATAGATATAGATAGATAGATATGCAACAATCCCATTTACCACTGCATCAAAAAAAAAAAGCACCTAGGAATAAACCTGTACTCAGAAAACTGTAAGATGCTAAGGAAAGAAATTGAAGACCACACAAATAGGTGGAAAGATACAGTATGTTCTCAGATTGGAAGGATCAATATTGTTAAAATGCCGGTACTACCAAGGCAGTCTATTTGTTGAGTAGATTGTCCCAGTGGCATTTTTCACAGAACTAGAACAAAAAAATTTAAATTTGTATAGAAACACTAAAGACCTTGAATAGCCAAAACAATCTTGAGGAAGAAATATGGAACTAAAAGAGTGGGTTTTTTAAAAAAAAAACTTTTTACTATAGAAATTTCAAACATACAATAGAAAGAACATAAAACGAGGCCCAGTATTCATCACTCAGCTTCGATGCTTACCAAGTCCAATTTTGTTTCACCTGCACCACCCTATTATTTTAAAGTAAATGTCAGGTGTATCTCACATTTCAATATGTATCTCGTAAGTAAAGGACTCATTTTTTTTAAGTCACAATACTATTATCACTCCCTCCACAAAATTAACAGTAGTATCTTAATATCATCAAATTATGCTGTTATTGTTTATTTCTCTAATTACCTTTCTTTTTATATTTGAGTCGTGATCCAAATAAGATCCCCTAAGGGTAGATTTTAGTGGAAAATGAAGAGGTGAGAAACAGATGGCTTGAGGAGCCAGAGAAAATTAGACAAGTGCAGAGAAGAGATTCATAATACTGAAGATAGTTTTTTCTAACAACATTCCCATGGACTAGTAATGCTGGATTTATGGAGGACATTCATACTCTGCCTGGACTCCTAAAGATCTTCCAGGATGCTGGAGAAATTACCATTTAACCTGCTCCAAGTTTCACTGGTTATCTTAAGATAATGGGCTTCAGTCAATAGCAGTGTATAACAATTCAACTTCAGTACCAACTTCTTCAACATAAGGCTGCGAATTAGAACCCCAAATTAGATTAGGCCTTTAAGGCAGTGAGGGTGATCGTTCTAGCTATATAGAGGGAGCCTTTATTCTAAATAAGTGTATTGAAGGCTAATTGAGCCTTTGTGTTGGGCTCCAGCCAGCCAAGCTTAATGAGCAGTGGAGTGCCATCTCAAAACCAGTTTTCAGAGGAAAAGGGAAGCAGACAAACCCCTCAGGATAGATCAGAGGAGCTGAGTGTGCTGCTCTGGTGGGAAGAATGCCTGATGTGTCTCATGGACCACATTAGGGAGAGGGGAGCTTTTAGGAAGTACTTGGAGCTTTTGACCAGATACAAAGCTGCAAGAGCGTTTTTCTACACTCCTCCTTCCAAAAAATTTGTTCATAGGCAATAAATGGATCATTTACACCATAAAAGTGGAAAGTGAAATAGGAAAAAGAGAAGAAAAACCCAACAGAACAGAACAGAACAAAACAAAAGCAAAATGTCTCCTTAGAGAAATTAACCTGGAAATATGAGACCAAAAGAGTACATTGGTTTGATGAAACTCCTCCTTTAAAGCTTTCCCCAGTAAGAAAATGGGTTCTGAGGATGACTGATTACCCAAAGCCACACAGCTAATTAAGATCAGAACTGAGGCTGAAGCCACCAATGGGCCCATGACAGGGCAGGGGCAGGTCTGAAGGTGGTGAAACCCTTTGCAGGATAAAAACTTGATCCAGAAGACATTTTCACAGCTTTTGGGTAAACTTTCTTTTGTTCCCCCTGTAAAATGCATCAATTTCTCTTTGTGCCTTCAATTTCCCATGCCTGCTCTCTCCATGTCCAATTTATGCCCTATTTGCATCATCTGGACTCAAACCTTCCAAGGCGGGAGTGGGTGGGTTGGGGCAGCAGGTGTAAGATAGTACCCTTTGGCATAGTGACCCTTGCTAACTTTTCTTGAAAGCCAGTAAAAATACTCTTTAGTTTTAATCTACTAATTATAAGCAAATGGACCTTTTAGCATTAGGAAATTTAGCATTTTTGTTTGCATTTATGATCATTGTCTATTTTCCATTTATTCCCATCTATTTGCAGTAAGTGTATTTGGAGGGCAACTTGGCTTATGCTTTTCCCCAGGAAAAAAAGAAAACCCACAACCAACCAAACTGCTTTTATAGCCATCCCCATGGAGCCCAGTGCTTCCTAGGCATGAAATTGACTGACACACACAAAAGCAGCAGGTGCGGGGCCACATGCCACTTGCCGCCTTTTTTTCCAGTGTGTGTTTATAATCAGTAAATGGCTGTGGATGTTTAAATGGTTTCCTAATACTGATGGAGAGCGGATGCCATTATAACTTGAACTTGTATTGCCACGCAGATGGTGAAAATAAACATCCAATTCTGCACACAGTTTTGTTTGTCTCTCACTTTTAAAAGACCGGCTGAGCATCAGGCATCCACGGTGCCAGCAGGAGCACTCAGGCAGGCGGGGCTATGGGAGAGCAGGGCTGCTGTCAGGTTCCAGATTGGCTTTTGTGTTGAGAGCCATCAGGACAGCAGGTTTCCTGTAAGTGGGAAGGGGCTCATTGCAGCAGTGGACCCCACCCCAGAATTATGAGGCAGCAGCTCCAGATATCCCTTTCCACTCAAGATGTGCCTCACACTCTCACTACCCTAGTATAAAACTCTTCCATACCTCTGGAAC